CAGCCCTGGCCTAGAAATGACAAGTGTCTTTCCCAGGATACAAGCCCTTTTCACCAACAAAACCATGAATTCCTCAACATGGTTTATTTGTAGCAATTCCTGTTGGCCTGGGTCCAGACCAGCCCTGGTCTGTTGGTGCTAGTAAACGCGTAGTCCAACGTAAGCACGACAGTCCGGCAAATCAGGAGCTAATCTAAGGAAATTATCCAGGCCTTGAAGACTGTTAGGGGTCTGTTGGTAATTGCCTCTATGAATGTGTTTAAAGTCTTGGTCCCTTTACACTTATGTAGCCTAGAATTTGATAAAATGTGTTGTAGACAGCCTGTACAGTGTGGCGGTTGATGAGCGAGCGTTGGTGGACAAAATCATTTATGAGCCAGAGTGGCAGGCGGTTGTATTGATGTTTTATGGCTTTTGCTCCTGGCTTTAGAGTTCTTGTCCCTCTCCCTCTTTTTTTTGCGTGTGCACCATATTTGTCAGTGATGACCAGTGAGGTTTGGCAGCGCTCGGCTGGTCTACACACATTGTTACTGGTGATAATGCTGACCCTACAAGGACAAGGATTTGGATCAGTGATTGTGTTGGCAGTGAGTGTGGTGATGCACCACTGGCAACCCGCCTACTGCTATTTATACTTGTTGATGTAGACCAAGTTACCGCGTTCATCCTGTAGCCTCGACCCGGAGACCCCGCCTGGGGATGCGAGGGGGGGGGGGGGGGAGAGGGTGATGAATGGTGGCGGCCACGAGGATGGATGGTTGGCAGCAAGGGTAGGGGAGGCGGTGTGGGCGGGGCGTCTTAAGGAAAAGATTATGGGATGTAAGAGGAAAAATGAGGGCAAAAGCGAAAAGTAATAAGAAAAGAAAGTGAACCTAGATTTATTTTATTTAAAACAGGGGAAGCGCTAACCCTTGGGAATGATGGGCATCCAGGTTCATTCATGGAGGTGGAGGATAACTCTAGTTCCTTGGATCAATAGCTTCTCACGGAAATGATGGCACCTTCCTTGAGGAAGTGAAGCTACCTAAAGGTGGTGAGTGTAGGGTTGATGAGTGGTAGACTTGTTTTTAAGATTTTCAGTGAGGAACAAGTTTATTGAGCAGCGGCATTCATCCTGTGTTTACCTATAGTTAATTCCAGGGAACTTCTCCCGCTCCTCGGGTCCAGACTTAAGCCTCCTGATTTATCGTTTGAACACTGTTCTGTTGGAGGAATAATGACAGAATAAACAACAATCAAGGATTTGGGGAGAAGCAAGGTGAGGACTGTAATTTTTAAATTGTCATCTGGAGGTGCTTTCAAGGAGCCGCGCCACCTCATTCATGCCAGCATGCACTGAATAATGCGTACTCGCCTAATTAGGTTTTTAGGGACCGAGTCTCAACTCCTGACTCATCTTTCAGACTCATTTTGATTGGGTTCGCTGATTTTCAGGCTTCTAAAGTCCGATCAATACCTTTTCTTGAACATGTGTATTGTGTTTGCCTCACTACCCTTTGTCTAGTTATTAGTCCGTTATCAGTTTCAACACTTTCCCCCCTGAGACTGAAAACGTATTTTACTAGCTTCTCTGCAGTAATCTACATCGTAGCTGTCATTTTTTCCCTGGCTCCTTCTCCTTGCATCTCGGCTTGTTCCTAGCCAGTCTTGGTAGTTTGTATGTCATGAATATTTGTGTGTACATAAAAAATTATTTTTGGAGAATGAAAATGTTTTGGGTTCAGTTTGTACTAAATCAAGCCGCCCAGCAGGTGCTCTCTCAAGCTACCTATAGTATTTGCTCTTTAAGTTGGTATATTATAAACCAGTTATTTATAACTGGCTTATATACAGCTGAGTGCCAATCAGTCGGCGTAGGGTAGGTGCACGAGTGAGTTTCACTGCTCAGACTAAGAGGCATACTAGCAGTCAATATAAAATAGATGTAGGTGGTAGCAGTCTTTATAGAATTTAAAGTGAATAACTTCAACCAACTGCAAGAAGTGTCTGTGTATACCACCTTGCTTCATGCAAGGACCCTCCTATTTGCATCTAATTATCTCCACTCGTATATATCTGTCTAGTTGCACATATCACAGTTTAATCCCTAATAACATAAGATGATTGGCGCCCTGTTGAGACTTTTTGGTTTATTAAAATAGAAATTGTTGAGATACTGCAAGATGTGTGAGAAGCCTTTATGATGTGATCATTTCTCTCTCACAACTGGTTTGGATGTTGTTTTGGGGAAGGGGGACCATACTCGCTAGTTGGCTGCTTCACGCCCATAGGAAGCTGAATCACTATCTCCAAGTGCATAATCATCCAGGTTGTAATGATTGTGTGG